TAGTTCTTCGACGAATTAAAATAATATAATAAACAAAATTAGTTATCGTGGTCAATTTAATATCAACCATAATAAGAATAAAATATACCAACGGATTTAAATTACATAAATAATTTACGACAAATCACGTAGTTGAACGTGTCATTATGATTTTTTTTCATCGAAGAAAAAGTTAGGTGTACACTTATACTATTACTCTATTTTTCTCCATCCTCTAATGGATGTAGTGCATCCATTAGAGGATGTAGTCCATCGTCAGGTTCGAATGTCAAAAACCTTTTCCACGCTAGCGTGCAAAAAGCGCGCAGATTTCTAATGAGAAAGAAAGCCTTTCCGAGCTAGTGAGGTGAAAAGGTTATTACGCTCAGCTTCTGTGTATTTGGATGACAAAAATCTGTGGTAGTGATCAGTTTAGCTCTTGATCTTTCGATCTAAGATGTTTAAATTAAATATTCTAATGTAAATGTATTCAAATGTATATTTACAAAGAGCAACCCCTAAAGTTTCTTGCTCATTCTTCTCAGGGGAATTTGCCTTACGAATGAGCAGTAGAGTTTAATCAGTATGATGATTTCAAGTATAATTTACTTACCTATGAAATAAAGATGATTTGAATTTGGAATTTTTAGAGATCATTGACTTCCACCTGCTACGCTCCTGATATAGTTATGAAACACAATCTACGCCTGCACAGACCCTTTCAATATTTAATTTGTTTAATATTGTCACTTCTATGTTAAAATAGAAATATTAACCAAATCCTAAAGTAAAGATTGACTAACAACCGTACATGCCATAAAACTTTGTTTTTACTTTGTTTCATTTGAAGTGACGTTTGACCTGAAAAAACGAATTGGAAATACCTTTAAGATTCTACATACTAGCGTAATTTAGAAGTAAATTGTTATTTTAAGAAAGTTGGTACGGGCATAAACGATGTTTAGCGCTAAGTAAAAAATAAAACTGGCTTCCAAGTAATAGGTAAAAGTCAAATGCCGTTTAAATTAAATTACAGTAGGGGAAAACTGTTTATAGAGTTGCAGCGGGCAAGCTTTTAATTCAGTAGTTTGCAATTTGCATATTTATTTGCAAACATGGCGTCAAAGCGCCTGCCGCAAAGTCCTTGGCAAAGACGCCGGCGGCATACGAAACGTGAAGTGTTGCACGAAAGGCTCTCGTAGTACGCGGGTGGGAAGCAGTGATCATCGAGACGTGATTCGAATATCATAATATCTTATCACGGAGGTAATAACACCATGCAGATGTATTGTTATTATGCTTAAGCTGCTATTTGCTATATGGTAAACATATTGTAATCACATGGCATCGTTCCTTCGGAATATGGGAATGTTGAATGATTTTCTTTAACCACAGACGTGTCAGTTATTTTGGTGATGAAGAGACAGTTCCATTCATTGTTTAAGCCACAGTTTGATGTTGCTTGCTGGAGATAATAACCTTTTTTTGACGCATGTTTATACATCTACTTATGGTCAAGATGCCTGAATTCAGCCACGCAACATAGGTATATAAATAATATGTGGTACAGCGACTTTGCCTATGTAAACATGAGTGTTAAGCATTATACTTAAATAAGTATTTAGATAAACAGCAACATACAATCTTTTTACACGAAATATATATATTAATTTATAACCTGCAACTTGCATATCGTCGTTGTTTTGTAGAAAGGGCGAAAGCGCCATGTCGACATTTTTTCCAGGGGAGTATGTTTTAGGCTGACTTGGCTATGTCAGCAAAGAAACGTTCTGTTATTAAATTTAAAGTACCTATTACCTTTTACCTACCTAACTATTGCTAGAAAGATTGACTTAATCAAAAAAACAAATTCGGAAACATGTTTTGGATGCCCGAGGAGCTGTAGTTTATGAATTTAGAGCATTGACTTACAATTATATGGACGTCGGATCCGCGCTAAAAAATGTAAGAACTTATAGGGCGTTAAAATCGTATACAGAGCGTCATTCACGTTTTAGTCTTCGTTTGTTCGACTGACAGCGAAGCAAGCAAAATTAGACAGTACTGCGATGACATTACAATTTAAATTCAACGTTTTAGCTTTTTCATATTCCTTTACATATCACTACGTTTAAGTAGGTTGACTTGGGACATTTTTTTCGTGGTTTTTGTATTAGACCCGTCGTCCATTTATTTGTAAGTCAATGATTTAGAGTGCTAAACAGACGGATTACACATTTTCCAGCGCTTTACCAGATACAAGATCAAGCGGACGTCGAGCTAGCATTGTATAAAAATTAAATTAAAAAAAAAAATTTGTAGAACAAAGGTTGTGTGTCCTGTGCGCAGGCCACACCGCGAGCGAATGTAGGTAAGCTAAGTTAGCCTAGCTACGACTTCCATTTTTACGCAGAAGCATTAATTTATATTGGCTACGGACTGCTGACAATTGATTCTCTTAAATCTTGTTACTTTACTTGCCACGATATTTACGCGGATTTGCTTTAGCCACTTAGTTCAATTTAAACAAAAAAAAAAAAACTAAAATACCTTCTAAAACGTGTTTAACTTGGTTATATTTTTTTTAATTTGAGGTGGCAACGATATTTATCATTATTGGAACAACAAAAGTACCTGATAAATATCGTTGCCGAAATAATTCAGCAAATCAAAACCTGCACTAGTTCCTATGTTCAATAATTGACCGAAATGTGTGAAATGAACTAATTGTTTATTAGAATGGAATAGAAATAATTTATTCCGTATAAGATACAATACACACACATTACATTAGGTACTAAAAAAATATATAACAGTTTGCGACTAGAAAAGAAAAGAAGAAAAAAAAAATCAAAAATAAAACAGAAGATAACATAAATAAATAATTAACGTAACGAATAATAATAAACAAAAGGTCCGTCATCCACTCACCCTATTGTCGTCTCACTGACGATGCATTAAAGCAAAGACATTGCTGTAGGTACACAAACCTAATAAATAGCTTTTGAAATCGATATAATCTGTTCGCGACCGTGTTTAGACAACGTTACGTCGTGGGGTAGGTAAGCGATACTAAAAAGCCTTTATATATACGTTCTGTTGAAGAGCCTTTGTGCTCATGTTCTCCAAGCTGACAGGTGCATTTTATGGGATTTATTTTGTTTGCAAACTCTTAGACAATGTTACATACGCGCATGAAGGCACGTAAATGTCTTTTCAAAGAAATTTGAACAAAGTATTTCTACTTGGATAGAAGTAACCGTGCAAGATAGAACGCAGCGCTGACGAGACATTATGCCAGTAAACATATTCCGTCTCAAGGGCTTTTGTCTTCACGATAACGTGTCGAAGATGCTCCAGCTGAATTTTATAGAATTTGGCTCGCAGCCATGATAACAGCGTCGATGCACACTACATGCATTTTATATCTTAAATAACTGTATCTGAGACATATAATGCTAAGAATCTGGGTTCGAAATTATGAAGACATTTATTCTCGTTGATATTTATCCGACATCTATTCGATAATTATCCATGCCCATTCAGTGTTTTGCATCTTTAGTTTTATAACAAAAGTTACATGCATACAGAAAACTAAATAAATATAAAAACAAAGTTTGGTAAAACGATTTGGTTTGCGAATTTCTTTTTGAGATTGATATTTGTCACGTTTGAATAAATCTCTGATACAAACATATGGCACGACATTTGTAGCGGTAGCATTTTGTTGTCCCAATTAATTTTATAGTTGTCAATTATCAAGGTAATTATTGAGATAATTAACATGGCAATAATCAATAATAATTATCAACTCGAACCCTGCCACATCACACATTGTGAAACTTTGCTAAATCAAACTTGCTTATTTTGCATGTTTATCATAATATAAAAGCAAATATTTTTTAATTATTTTAAATAATTATCAATTCAAACTCTGCTAAGAACTCACATTGTGAAACTTTGCTCTTTCAAACTTACTTATATTGTGATATCATAATTGTAAGCAAATATATTTCTTGTGAAGTTTAATTAAAACGCGTCGTAGTATTTTGTAACTTTTTGCCACGTTCAACCAAATGTCATTATTCTTTAACCCCTTGAGAGTGAACGAAAATTATCACTGGCTCACATGGTTTATCATTTGTTTTAAGCGGATGAACACGCTTCAGTGCAAATTCGTAGGTGTACCTATATGTAATTTTTTAGCAAGTCATTGTTATGGTCTATGATTAAAAAGGTTACCAAGTTATGTTTCCTAAAGATTTTTTCAATATTACTAACCCATGGATTCTTGTTCCATCCGAAAGGATTTCCGTCTATATTTTAACATGAAAGTAAATCCTTTCGTGAGATAGTTTGTAGGTGTTTTCGCTCAGCTTATGAAAAATGAATGAATGAACTATTCTATATTGGACGTAAAAAATTACATTTAAGAAATTTGGAAAGGGAGTGCAATTAAAGAATATCTTCTAATTGAAGTGTTTCAAATAAATACAGTACACATTGAATAGTAATAATTCATACATGTAGATGTTAACATACTTATAATAATAATAATATTTGGCTAAATGATTTTTAGGGAAAAAGTTGAAAACTAAATACAGGACAATTTGTGTAATAAAGAAATAAATGTAAGGATTGGCGAGAAAATAACGAAACTCCTCAGTTTCGTAACGATGTTCGTTATCACGTCGCGTCGTTTCAAGCAATCAAGAGAAGGAAATCGTCGAATAGGTTCAGGGAAGTAATACCATAGTAGGATAGACACAGTAAAAAAGTTGGAGTAAAAATCGGATGTATAAGATGAGTATGTTTAGTATGAGTGTGTGAGATAATCGAAAAGGACGGCAGAGTGTAACAAAGTAAAAAATAAAACGTTCTTTAAAGTGGCATTGGCAAATACATTTTTAATGATTATTCTCAATCGTATACATAGTGATGAATCGTATACTAATATATACAGAGGTGGTGAACGTGTGCCGCGGTGCAGGCGCGGGCGCGGCGCGGCGCGGCGGGGGGGCGAGGCCCGCGCGATGAGCGGCGCGCGCGCACCCCGCCCCGCCCGCCATGCAGCGCCTGCGCACCACCTTCAAGCGATCCCGGACGCCTACGCCTCAAGATATGAAATCGCAGAGCAGCCTCGAAGTGCCCAAGCAGGTTAACATTCACTGAATACCTACTCAAATCGTCACCATCATAGGTCTAAAGCTTTATCGGAGATAAAGTTAATTGCGGGCTTAAAGATGAAAAGTACCAGGGAATATAAAGAAAAGTACTTACATTCCTATTCGCAGTTAAGTAATAAATATAGGAAACAACAATTAAAAATGAATATTAAGCTGTCAATTTAAAAAAACAATTCGTGTAAATTTACACGAACGAACGGTCCTTCGTAGTAAAGATAAACAACGTCGTCCCAACATTACGAAATCAGTTTTCAAATGATTGGATTAAAAAACGGTCATAAATAAAAGTATATATTATATTTATATAAAAATTTAAAAGAGGTGAGGTCATTCTGATTTGTAGGTATGTGTATCTGCAGCTAATGATGTTATGACAGCTACAGCAAAACTATATTGAGTTACGTGAAAGTACGCCGTGGAATAAGGGAAACACGAGTAAGTAAAATGCCAAAAAAGTTCTTGACGTTCTCTCGCACGCGTGAAATGTAATTTTGTACCTTTCTTTAAGCGAAGCATTTTAAATTTACCATCTAGATATATCCTCATGTATCCGTATGTAAATTTGGACGATTTTGGTGATCGAAATCGTACTCATGGGGAAAAGTACATCCTTTACGAATTTAAATCGTATATAAATGTAAATGTTTGGTAGGTAAATATAATTTTATACAATTGCTGGGTGGTTTTGTAGGTTCGATCGGCGTCGTTCGATGAGATTCAGCTGGAAGCGGCACGCGGCGCGGGCGCGAATGTTTTACTGGCAGTCCCGCAGCATGGCGCCCGCAGCCGTTCCTTTGACTCCGCCGGCTCGGATGACTCGGGCACTTACCTCGAAGTAAGTTACGGACTAAACTTCAATAAAAATATTTAGTTATTATATTACTTTTCATATTTTAACATCTTATTTATACTGACCAGGTACCTCGCCTATGGTCTCGTCGTCGTTCCGGCAAAGGTACTCCACCACCATGCGTTCACTGTCGCCATATGGAGACGTGGTTGTCGCATCGTAGCGAGGAGCGAACCACGCCCGAACGACTACCCGTATCCGCTTCCTCGTCCGCCGACGACGACGATGATGATGACGAGAGCGAGGTTGAATCTCCAAGAGTTTTGCTCGCGCCTCCACCACCACCTCGAACTTATTTGCCGCCGAAACCACCAACTCAGTCACCACCACCCTCACCCGGTGCGCCTTCTTTTGAACTCCAACCACCAAACGATGAACCGCCTGTACTGCCACAACGCAGACGATCCATATCACGCCAAGAAGCGTTCTTTGTTGAACCTACTGGAAGTTCACTGGAAAATGTTAGAGCATCTGAAGATTGTGCAACTCAGACCCAAAGAGATCCGCTCGTACACGACATTTACTTAGCTGTACCAGAGTTAAAGCGCGACCGTGCCGCGTCAGTTGATTCCTGCTTTTCAAAAGTTTCGGGTGCTAGAGCAGAAGAGCTAAGTGGTAGTGGTGATTACTTAACAGTTCCGGGCACTGGGTTGCGATCCCGGTCAGTCGACATCGTTCTGCCGACAGCCGAGCAGTCACGGTACAAAGCATTAGCTTTAACTTCCGCACAAGCTCCGCCCCCACTCCAAAATGATAAAGTGCCTCAAGAACCTGCGGTCCAGCCAGCTGTAGATAACAGGTTAGTTTTATTTATTAATGTACGAGTACTAGCAAAATAAATAACTTAGTCTTTTTATGTTTCTTTTACTGTTTTCTATTTCTTTTACTTTTCTTGTTTAAAAAGTCGTAATGTATCACACTTAAAGCGAGTTAGTTATGGGTTTTTGGAACATAATAATCGTTAATATCTTTACTGTTGCCCGAAATTCGCTATTGTGTAAGGTAACAGCATCGAAAGTAATGCGGTGAAATTTGTTATACCTCTTTTTGTTGTTTATTAATATTTAAAAGCACACTTTCATTAGGCGGAGGAGTTCTATCTATGTTTTTCTAAATTAATTTAACCGTTACGCCTAAAGTGCTGCTACTAACTTTATTATAGTGTTATATGCTACACTATCACACCAATTACCTGGTAACTAGGGATTTCAATGTGCTATGAGTGCTAGAGAACATCAGACCCACAAATTACTCACAGATTTCACAAATTTCTCAAATGGGTCCTATCGGGAATCGAACCCGGGATCTTCTCATCCAGTACCCACAGTATAAACTGTTAGGTCATCAAGCTCGTCGTTCGATTTAAAGATTTTAAATTACTCGCAGCAAGCAAAGCAGCAGCCCCAAAGCGATTCTCCGTTCGGTGGACGAAATGGCCATTTTACAAGTTTTTATTTTTTATACCCAACTCTTCATGAAAGCCTTTCACGGTTAAATTGCGGAATTGTGGGGAAATTTTTAAATTGGTAATAAAAGTGTTGGAAAGTAAATGCTAAAAGGTTGTACCTTAATTACGAAAGTTATTATCGAAGTCTCTTGTCGTTTATTGTTCATCTGAGCCGGTTTATGAGCTGTGTATCTTCTTGTGAAAAAACAAAAAACGGGAATACATTCATATAGCACCTTAATTAGATAACAACTGAATACCCCCTGCGCCCTTTTTACATAAATTTTGATTATAGTGACCCTCCATACCGAACTTTAGGGTATACGAGAAGGGCACTATAACATGTGCAAGCACAGCGACCTTACAAGTTAAGGTCTTGACCCCGAATCAGTCAGTGTACAGTGTTGTCACAGACCGTTGTCACTGACTTCATCTGGTTCTCAAGAGGCTAGTACCTCGGGTGAGCTGCTTCGGGTATGTACCTGATGTACAGTATCCTCCCTATTTTCCAGATAGGTACCGGAGCTGTAGACACACTCACTTCCTGTTGTGCATTACACAACTAACGGTTGCCACCACTAACACACACACCAAATATCCTCTTTAGTGGCGGAGTTGTAGGCACGCTCACTTCCGGACGCCGAAGAGTCTCTCCAGTTCGTAGTAACCTACGCGAATAGTAGGACCGGAGAATGTCTAGCTCATCTTCTACGGGCTAGCACTAGAGATGTCGGTCATCAATGTCCGGACATAGCTTCCAACCTAAAGGGCAACTCTCGTGCTTCGCGCGTTTCCTCGCCTGAGGTCCTCGCCTAGACTGCTACTAAGACTAGCTGACGCACGAGGCAGACGCCCCCGGCCACACACCACCGGAGCAAACGAACATACCTAGATTACGGGTCTGCCGGAGACGCCCGTGAGGGCGTATCACTTGCAGAAGGCTTGGCCTGGACGCCCGCCGAGCCCTGGTCTTACCGCGGAGCCCCTAATCTCCCCGGAACTCCCTATGTCTCAGGTCAGTATATAGGGACAATTGAACAATTGTAATCTAGGCGGTGATAGGCAAGAGACCACTATAATGTTCTTGATTACAACGGCGCGGCGGCTCAAGCAAGCGGTCTTTAACCGATCCTTTCTTTGGTTTCACATCTCACACGCTAATTGATTATCAGCAAACTAATGAACTGGAAGATTTGAACTTACTTGGGTAGAATTTAATTTACGTATTTTTACGTGATGCACTTTTATTACCTATAATCTCATCTACTAATCTAACCTGTCGTGATACATACTATATAATTAAAGGAGTAGGGTCCGGAGCAACTCACTGGTAAATTGGCGCACACTAAAAAGTACAAGTCCTAGAAACATGAAAACATTAGGATATGTTATACTTTTGTTTAGTGTAGGCGTAATAAGAACGGATTTTTCGAAATCAATCCCTGAGGATGAAAAAGGATAATCATAAACCATATCACAAAGGCAACTTTTTAGTTCTGAATCAAAATTCTATTGTCTATGGTAATTGCCACTAAACTGAAATTTTATTATAGTTCTGTACAGAGTACTATTGAGTATCATAGTTTTACAAAACAGAACTATAATGAGTTTGAAAAAAGGAACGTCGTATTTTCGCTAATTAAAATATCAAATATGACGCTACTCAAACAGTCTACTGCCTCCTGACTGGTTAAATTGGCCTAACAGTCTTGCAACCGGGCCATAAACGTTCACAAAAAAAAGTTTGATTATAACCATTGATCTACCAGTTAAAACTATATTGCTGTGTGGTTTTCTGTTATGTAGCGTTTGTTTGGCTTTCGTTTTAATTTGTTATCATGGATTGTTTGTTAACAAAATATACATTAAATGTTGGTTGTGTTTCATAACTTTATTTACTCTTCTTAAAAAAAGTTATGTATGCAATCACTACATAATTAGGGCTTAAAATCTCGTACCTATAAACCGTAAACACGGTACTCGACTTTAAGAAGCCTCATTATGCAACGATTGCGTAAAATGCTATTATTTTCATATACATGTATGAAAATAATAATACAAGCATGAGTCATTATTGGTTTTGTACGCGATGTACAATTATTTTAACACTTGTAATACTATGCCAAAAAAAAAAAAATTGTTCTAAATGCTGCGTGATTTTTCCCAAAACAGCGCGAACGCTACAGAAGGGCACGTTTGAAATATTCGTAATTTTAAGGTTTTAATTAGCATGCAATCCTGTTTTACCGCCAACCACGAGCCGCCAATAATTTGTTTGTATAGGTACGGAAAATGAAAAAGTATTAATTTTATTGATACAAGGAATTATGTACTGAAATAAAGAGGAAATTTCAAGGGAGAAGTAAACAAATTGTTCAAATTATGGCTGGCCGTGAAGTTGTAGAGTCAATTTAAGAACTTTCCCCAGGGAGCGACAAGTCCTCGGTTTTGAAAGTGCCATCAACTAAGACAAACACTATTTATCTAATGGATTAACTTAATGGTAGGTGTTCAACGCTCAGTTTACATTTGCTTTATTAAAACCAGTTTTAGTACTAGTTTGAATTAACAATTTTAGCTTATACTAGTACTATTTTGATAGTAAAACAATTAATAGAAATGAAACGCTGCACACGTTCCTAATTATTTTTTTACAAGGCTTTAATTTACGAGGATACATATAAATTTACGTATACATAAGCCAATCTATGTCATCATTATTCACCTGTTGATATACCAGATAATCACTTACAATCTAAGAATGGTCACAATAGTACAATTATTTTATAAAATGTTTGCGTTTCAACCATTAAAACCGCTCTTTGTGAATAAATAACTCGTTTTGTAATTAAAAAAACTCTGCAAGAGTTTTATTGTTTTGTTTGCTACGCTTTTTTTAAGGTTTTTTTTGTCGTGTAGTTTATCTAACACACTGTAGGTTTTTCTAAAGTGTATTAGGTGGTATACGTAAATATGTAGTAGCTACTAAATATTTTAAAGTTTACTCACAAACATTATATTATTACAAAAACCACAACTTCTATGAATTAAACAAAAGGTGTTCCAAACGAGAGGTTTTAATTGAAATAAAATCAATGAGTAATTATAGTGGTGCTAAGTCGTTACTTTAGCTTTCTATTTATCAAGTTTGTCATTCAAATATTAAAAGATTTTCCCAATTTTTTAAAATGGCATCGATGTCCTACCTGTTTTATACAGCTAAAAAACCTTACCGAACTATTTTTGTTTTTTTTTCCTATTTAACTATTATTACATCAAAGACACACCAAATTAAACGCTCTTTATATTATACCGGACAATTCAGGACTAAGAATCAGAACGTAATTAATTAAATTTTGACGATGCTTTTCTTCTTCGTCAAGAACCTTTTTACATTATTTTTTTATTTTGGACGTAACTGCACGGAACACAGATATTGCGTCTATATTGATGTGCGTGTGATTCATGTGCGTAGCTTCGATACCCTTTTACGGCCAGGTCTCCTTCATAAATATTACCAACATGTATACGTATCACTGAAAGATAGTAAATGCGCCTATATTTTCATTTAACAAAATCTTAAGATTCAAAGATTGTTTTAAGATTACTTAAATTACACGCGAACATAGGCGTAATAAAGGAATTCCTAATTAATTTAAATATAATTATGATTTCATTTAGTTTCGCTAAATATAAATATTCGTTTTTGTTTTATTATTTTATGCATAAATAAGTTCTTATTGCAAATCTAAAATAGGCAGGAGTGTTCAAAAAATATTCGATTATATTATTATTGGAGTATAATTTCTAATTTTTGGAAATTTAATTAAATAAATTATATAGTTTTCATATAGTTTTGGCAAGACTACTTAATTAAACTAATTTGTGAGCGTTCACGAAGTTTACACAAATATACAGTAATAATTAACTGTACTATTTTATATGTATACTTAATTTTATACGAGAAAGTACACTTTGTAAGTTATCATGAACGAAACTTTCTTACCTCGATGGTTTTTTTTAAGATACCAAGTAACGGGACGAACAAGTCGTACGCCTGTTGGTAAGCGACACGCCGGTCCATAGTAGTTGCAGTTCCACTCAAAGCTTTAAATTACAAAAATCTGAGATTTAAGTTGATCCATGCATAATTTCACCAGCACTTACCCTTCAACGCCAGAACACATTAATGCTCATATTACTGCTTGGCAGCAGAAATAGGTAAGATGGCAGTTGCCCCTGGACGAACTCTTTCTTTTACTGCTACTAAATGGTCCAATACCGTTGTTCGTAGCACAGGCGTTTTTAACGTAACCCCAAGAGGTGTACTAGTACATTAGTCCATAAAGCAT